GCGGCGCGGGAGTGCGAGCATGGGGAGGGGCGTAAACAAGGGCCCAGGCTGGGCCAGGCCAGGGGTATTAAAGAGGCCGAGGTGGGGAGTGGGGCTGCGATCCGGCGCCTAGAGAGGGGTAGGAGCGGCAGGGAGAGGCTGAGGGTGTGAAGGGGAAGGGGGCTCGTGGCATGCGGTGGCCGGGAGCACTGGACTCCCGGGAGCGCTGTTGTGAGGACGTGGGAGAGGGGGAGAATTGGACTTAAGACGTCTTGTGGAGGGAGGCTTTCAAAGTGTTAAAATTGGAAGTGGAAGCGGAAGGGCCTTGGGGGGAATTGGGGTGGGAAAGGAGAGGAGGAGGGTTTGGGAATGGGGCGAGTGTAGCTGTGTCGAGCGAGGTGAGGTAGAAAGTGAGAGACCCGGAGGAAAGTTTGGGAGGAAAGGGAGATAGGGCTGTGGAGCTGCACGGATGATAGAGGTTTGGGGGTTTCCCTTTCCCTTGTGGAAAGGCAGCAGAGTTAGGCAGTATCAGTTGCAGCCAATTTTAATTGCCAGGCGCTTAGCTTTTAATAGGGTGGGAAGGGCAGAAAGGAATGGTCTTGCGGGTTTGGAGAATTGGGGTTGAATGAGGGTTCAGCCGGATTTGCTTTCCAAAACACTCGCTTGCTTACTGCTTCCTTGTTTTTCCTGGTTACAAATAGGGAGATGAGTAAAGCACTTTTCTAGGTTTTTTATTTTTTTTTTTTTTTTTTTTTTTTTTTTTTTTTTTTTTTTTTTTTGCAATTAGCCATACAAGATGGGGAGACAGACATGGCTGGAGCCTATATTACCAAGGTGGAGGCTCTGGAAGCCTGAGAAGGATATAAAGAGACAGGCTGGCATTTAGGTAATCAGGCTAATTAAATATGCTTTCTTTTACAGACCCTTCCTTTGCTCTTCAAGTTCTAGGAGGGAAGGAGGGGTCAGTATGCATATTTAGAAACATGTTTCTTCCTGAAGCGTAGGCATGAGTGGATGCTGCCTTAGTGGTTATTTTGTTCTCATTGTGTGCTAAAGGAAAAGGTGAAGGTGGAAATTGATTCTGGTCTGATGAGTGAAGTGATGCGAAGGAAGTGCTTTCTTGGGCTGTAACTTTTTCCCTTCCAAGTCCCCCCTTAGCACTCATGCTGTAAGAAAATAGATGGAATAAGGAATTGGGGAGAAAAGTGAGACAGTTTCAAGGTAATGGTTTTTCCCAGAGGTTGTTGAGTTGGCACTTTTCTTGCTATGAGCCATTGAGACTGGACGTTCTTGGGTTTGATATTATATTGTGAATTGACAATCAGAGAGGGGACCTTGGGGCCTTTGTTATGTTTGAGTTCTTTAGCTTGGAGTAGTTTGTTCAGTGAAATGACTTTTTTTGTGTGTGCCACGGACATTAACTAACTGTGGACCTTGGAAGTTTCAAAATAAAGCTTGAAATTTTACTCTTTCCCCCCTTATTTGTTTTTGTTTTTGTTTTTCTGCTGGCTTTGAAACTTGTGCTAGGAAGAGACCTGGGAAATTAAATTTCTTGAAAAGGTAAGTCTGGAACTTTTTATTATTTTCAAACAATGGAAGGGAATGGAAATGGTATGAAAAGCATTGGGGTTGAGCCTACTTAATTAGGTAGATGCTAGGGAAAATGAGTTTTACTCATCTGAGTTCATTAAGGTTTGTTGCAGTCCATCCTCAGGTAACTGGAGATAGTTTCTGTTTTTCCCTTCTCCTATCTAAGTGTCTTGAGACAAGGTCCCAGCTTTGGTTTGCCGTTGTCTAGCCTTCTGGTCATCTCTGAGTGAAACATGTTTAACATATGGAAAGCTGTGCTCTTGTACATTGTCTACAAAGTATTTCTCTTGGAGGGTGGCTGAGGTACTTTAGTGGGAAGGCTTTTCTTCTAGTTTACTGTCTCTCCCAGCTGTTCAGAGTTCTTAGGATTTTTTGAAAACATACTGTGTAATTCTGCCTTCCAGATATATTTGGTTATGTTTTCCCAGTCCCACCAGCAGGAAAGCACTTCAAGAACTTACTCTTGTAGTGTTGTAGTTTCAAGGTTCAAGCCATTTTTCCCCTGTGTGTAGACAGGGTTTCTCTGTGTAACAGCTCTGGCTGTCCTGGAACTCCATTTGTAGACCAGGCTGGCCTCAAACTCACAGAGATCCACCTGCCTCTGCCTTCTGAGTGCTGGGATTAAAGTCGTGCGCCACCACCCCCTGGCAAGCCATTCTTTTTTTCTCGGCAGGTTCTCACTATGTAGTCCTGGCTGGCTCATAATTTGCTATGTAGACCAGGCTGGCTTCAGCCTCAGACTCCATCTACCTCTGTCTCCCAAGTGTGGGGGTCAAAAAGGTGTGCCACCACACCTATTGTCACTGCTTTTTTTTTCTTTTTCTTTTTCTTTTTCTTTTTCTTTTTTTTTTAAGTTCTTCCACATGACTTTCTTCTAAGGGCTTCTGAGAGTCAAATATTTCTTTTTCTCTTATGAAAATACAGATGTTATTCCTGTTAGGAAGAAATCTACCATTTCATTCCAAGATATTTCTTCTACATAGTCTTTAAAGTACTTTAAAAAGTTAGAGTTGTCATTTCTAGATGGGAGAGTCTAGACTGCTTGGGCATGGGGACCCAATAGAGAATAATCTATTAGAAAGAAACTGTCTAGGGACATATAGACTCTTACTGGCTCTTGGTAATGTCAGACCTCCCTACCTAAAGGAAAACAAACTAGAACTTTAGGAAATTCAGCGCTTTCATCCAAATGTAGAATTATTCTGTGCTAGGGATGTAACTCAGTGGTAGAGCACTTACCTACTGTAAGGCTCAAGGCCCCTAGGTTTGATTCCTGGTACAAAAAAAAAGTGCATGTTAGTGTCTGAAATATAGCAAGATCATTCAGTGGATCAGTACACTTGTTGATAGCTGTGGTTTGTTTGCTTTTATAGAGAGTCTCACTGTGCAGACCAGGTGGCTTTGTACTTGGAGATCCACTGCCTCTGCCTCCCAGGTGCTGGGATTAAAGGTGTGCCATGGTGCTTGGCTGCCTGTTGCTTTCTGTCCCTTGGAACTGTATCTGAAATACCAATACAAGAATTCTTTCTTTTTTTTTTTTTCTTTTTCTTTTTTAAAGATTTAGTTATTTATTATGTATACAGTGTTCTGTCTGCATGTATGCCTGCAGGCTGAAAGAGGACACCAGATCTCATTACAGATGGTTGTGAGCCACCATGTGGTTGCTGGGAATTGAACTTAGGACCTCTGGAAGAGCAGCCAGTGCTCTTAACCGCTGAGCCATCTCTCCAGCCCCCACAAAAGTTCTTTCTAATCTTCTGTTTGAAGGAAGGTGTTCTAGTCACTGTGGTGTCTTCCATCTAGGAGCTCTGTGTCTAGGCTGAGCTCCCTTGTCACTGAAAGCTGTTGAATTAAGAGGAAGTTGGTGACATTCTTTTCATCCTGAAGTTTGATTCTTAGATACCCTGGCTGGGATGCTGAGTTAACTTACAATCCTAGATGATGATTAAGTGGGGAGAGCTGCCTACCAGCCTGCATGCCAGCCTCTTGATATTACTCTGGAAGACATGCCTTGGGAAATGCTTGCTTCAGTGTTTTGCTTCCTTGAATAGTATAAGTCTGATTAGTTACCTAACAAGGAAGGGTCTGCTATTTAGTCTTGTTTCAGGACTTTATAAATGGCGCTGAGACTAAAGATCAGGATCATTTGTGTTAGTCTTGAAGAGGATGACATTTTCTTATTCCAACACAATTCCACATTGAACTAGGTCAAAGTAGACCTCCTGGAATGGACCAGAAGGGAGTATGTCACTAGCACCTGCTATTAACCTGAATGGCGACAGCAGGTGACAGAGGAGGCATTGCTGGAGTGAGATGAAGCTCCATTGTGCTAGTTGGATTTATGAGTTAAATGAGCTATGTCTGCCTGCCCTTCCTTTTCTTCTAGAATATGATTGGATTGTTTGGGATTGACGAGACATAATAGCTTCCTTCTCTAGATCTAATAAGGAAAGTGACTGCATCATTTTGACCATCATGTTTCACTGATAGAATTTCACTACTTTAGTACTATAAACATTGGTCCAGGTAAATTTTTGTTGTTAGTGATTTATAGGATGTGTACCTTAGCTTTATTATATGCTGCTTGTGAAGTCTTCACCAAGCTTGACAACCACAGCTGTCCCAGTCATTGTCAAATGTTCCCCGAGGGGGCAAATTGCTCCTGGTTGGGAGCTGTTGACCTAGATGTTCTGGTGATTCCTAATCCCTAGTACCTGAGATGATCTGGGACTTAAAAGTGATTCTTTTCCCCTCCTCTCAAGTGAAGGGAGTTAATCTCAGAGGATTGAGGCCTGTTGTAGAATTACATTGATTATATAATTAGGGCTAAAGTGTTTTCCTTTGTTTTGCCTCATTTTCCAGGGACAAAGTATGTGGGGGTGGTTTTTCTTAATTGCTTGGGGTTTCAGGACACCTTGAATTAGGGACCCAAGGAACAACCTGCTGTTTTGATTGGTTGGACGTGAAGCCTGCCCATCTGTTTCCTCTGGGATCCTTATAGTCAGCAGCTGGCCAAGGGAACAGGTGGGATAGGGACCAGGGAAAGGTTGCAGGGGCTCTGAGGAAGCTCGCTTTTCTCCCGCTGCTGCCTACTTGAGTAGGCACTATTTTTCCTCAGCAGCCCCATTTGTGCCCAGTGACAGCAGCTGAAACAAGTGGAAGAGACAAGGAAAGCAGTCTGTAGTTGAGTAATTTCTCAGCTGCTTCCCAGACTGTGGATGGGATACCTCTCAAAACTACATATGGTTTATATTTCCTTTTTACTTGTATTTCTCCTTTCTCTTTTTAAAATTTATGTGTTTATCTTTTGTTTTTTGAGATGGAGTTTCTCGTTGTAGCCCTGACTAATTGTCCAGGAACTTGCTTTGTAGACTAGACCAGGCTGTCCTGCCTACCTCTGGAGTCCTGGGATTTTATTTTATTTATTTTATTTTTTTATTTTTTTTTTTTAAGGGAAGGAGTCTCCTTGCACTTTTCTTGTTGGCTCAGTGTGGAAGGACCAGGTTCTATTGCTTTTCAACTCAACCATCCACCATGGTTCTTCTGAAGTAGTTTACCACTCTCATCTTTTTGGTGCTAGAAATGGGACCCAGGGCCTCGTGAGGGCTGAGCATCAGTCTATCACTGAGTTATATCCACACTTTCTCATCATCTGTCTTGTAGCTTAGCCTGTATCCTCATGTGGAAAATGGTCAAAACACCATCTTGTTGAGTAGGGTTGTTTGGTGCGGGTAGGTTTTTATGGTATGGAGACTGCTCTGGCTAGCTAGAATATGTGCTTGGTTACTGACTACTGGATGTGCTAGTGTGCACACTCCCCACCCACCCCATTCCAAGACAGGTTTCACTGTTTAACTCAGACTGGCCTTGGATTTGTTATCTGTCTCAGCCTCCCTAATTCTAGGATTATAAGCAGGCACCTGCACCGCCATGCCTGGTTTACTTGTGTCTTTTTAGTGGGGTCTTCTCTCACGCTTGGACTTGTAAGTTTGTTTCTCAACTGCTATTGCTTGTGTTGTTGACCTCTTAGAAACTAAGTTCAGTTCTCAACAACAGGCTGCTTCTACAGATGTCTGCTACTAGATATTAGGATATAAAGATGAGTGATGGAACCAGGTGGTGGTAGCTCACTCCTTTAATCCCAGCACTCTGTGAGTTCGAGGCCAGCCTTATCTACAGAGTGAGTGCCAGGACATCCAGGGCTGTTACACAGAAAAATCCTGTCTCAAAAAACAAAACAAACAGGGCTGGAGAGATGGCTCAGTGGTTAAGAGCACTACCTGCTCTTCCAAGGTCCTGAGTTCAATTCCCAGCAACCACATGATGGCTCACAACCATCTATAATGAGATTTGGTGCTGAACACTGTGTACATTATAAATAAATAAATCTTTTAAAAAAATAAAAAACAAACCTCCAAAGATGGATGGTAGCAGGTTAGGTGTGGCGGCACATACTTTTAATCCCAGTACTCAGAAGGCAGAGGCAGGTAGATTCCAAGTTGGAGGTCAGTCTGGTCTACAGCCAGGGATACAGAGAGAGGCCTTGTCTCAAAATCCTCCACTTCCCCCAAGTATTGATGGTGGTAGCCTGTAATCCTAGCATTTGGAAGGCTCAGGTAGGATTATTGAAAGTTCGTTGCCTATCTACATTACATAGCAAGTTCAAGATAGTCTGGGCTACACCTTGAGGCCTTGTGTCCAAAAAAAAGAAAGAAGGAAAAAAGATTTGGAGAACAGAGACTTCTTGAAAGAGTCAGTTTCAGGGGCTGGTGAAATGGCTAAGTAGGTTAAGGCATGTGTTACCAAGCCTGACAGCTTGACTTCCATCTTAAGGGGACCTACTTGGTGGAAAGAGAGAACTGGCCCCCGAAAGGTGCACTGTGGCCATATGCTCGTGCATGCGTTCGTGTGCAGTCGAGAACACACACACAAACAAATAAATGTAATGCAAATAGAGTCAGTTGCAGTAGTACAGTTGAGATGATGATTGGAATCTGAACCATGGCACTGGCAGTAGCAGTGAAAGAAAGGGCACATTTAAGAAATACTTTGCATTGTACAGTGGGAATTAAGAACTGACTTCATGAGCTGAGCGTTGGTGGCGCATGCCTTTAATCCCAGCACTTGGGAGGCAGAGGCAGGAGGATCTCTGAGTTTGAGGCCAGCCTGATCTACAGAGTAAGTTCCAGGACAGCCTCCAAAGCACAGAAAAACCCTGTCTTGGAAAGCAAAACAAAACAAAGAACCGCGTGATTAGAGGTCGTGGTCAGGGTAGAACAGTACTCAATAGTACTGTCTTGAAAGACTAATTATAAATAACTATAAAGCGGAGGTGAACTGTTAAAACTAGATGATTGGTTGATGATATTATCCAGGGTGAGTTTGTGACTCAAACACAGGGCTGTGATTGGTCCTTGGAAGGTTTGTTACATGCCATCTGTGAGGAAGGGTTAGTTTCGTTTCATTATTATTCTGTTTTTGAGATCCAGTGGCCCAGAGTGGACTCAAACTCCCAATCCTCCTGTTGCACGAGGCCTCTCAGAGTGCTGGGATTATGGCTTGTGCCACTATACACACCTTTGCCACTGAGACTTTAAAGTTAAGGGACATGCTTAAAGTCACACAGCTACAGTTTGTAATGACACAAAATTTAAACTAGTTCTAGCTAGTGACTTATAACTGTTCATCTGATGCAGTTTCTGTATCAAAGATTGAATTCTCTACTTTTTGGTTTTGCCTATATTTAAGAAATGGGTCCAAATGGTGGTGGTGCACACAAGTGGATCTCTGTGAGTTTGAGGCTGGCCTGGTCTACAAAGTGAGTTCCAGGACAGCCAGGACTGTTACACAGAGAAACCCTGTCTTAAAAACAAACAAAAAAGAAAGAAATGAGGCCAGGCATGGGGGTGCCTGCCTTTAACCCCAGCACTCAGGAGGCAGAAGCAGGCAGATCTCTGAGTTTGTTGCTTTTTAGAAAAGATTTAACATGTTTGTTTGGTTGGTTTGAGACAGGGTCTCACTGTGTAATTTTGGCTGCCTTAGAACCAAAATCCTCCTGCCTCTGCTTGCCAAGTACTGGGATTAAAGGTGAACACCACCACTAAAGATGGTTAATTTTCATTTTTACTTACTTGTGTGTGTGTGACTGCAGGTGTCTTAAGAGGTTAGAGGCATCAGATCCTTACAGCCCGAGTTACAAGTGGGTGAAGGCTATCCATGTGGGTGCTGGGGATTGAACTTAGGTCTTCTGAAGAATAGCTAGTGCTCTTAACCATTAACAACCCTCCCCTGTCTTCTCTTTGAAACAGTGTTGTACTGTTTAGCCCTGGCTAGCCTAGAACTCTGTCCGTAGACCATTAGGTTGGTGTCAAACTCACAGAGATCTTCCTAAATTCTGGGATCAAAGGGGCACACTGCCACACCCAGATGTTACTCTCTTACTGTACTTTTTGTTGTTTCTATAAGATAGGGTTTCAGTAAATAGACCAGGTTGGCCTGGAATCAGATCTAAGTGTCTCAGCCTCTGCACTACTGGTTACAGGCATATGTCACTAAGCCCAGCAAATCAGGGTTTCAAGGAACCAAAAGCAGAGTTGGGGGTGGGGGCAAGAGGAACAATCTGGGTAACATGAAATAAAAAGACAAAATTTGAGATAGTTTCTTGTAGTGCAGGATGGCTTTGATCTTGGTCTGTGCCTGAGGATGGCTTGAACTTCTGATTCTCTTGCCTCCTCTACCTCTCAAGTGCTAAGATGTTAGGCATGCTTTACCACAGTGGCTTCTTTTGTCCGAGATATAGTCTACCTATGTATCCCTGGCTGGACTGCAACTTGCTGTGCAGACCAGAATGGCTTCAAACTTAGGGCAATCCTCCTGCCTTTGCCTCCTGAATGCTGTAATTACAGGTGTGTGCACTCATGCATCGCTGCAATAGGAACTTCTGAACTGTGCCACACTAAAATTGCACAAAACATTCTCATGCTAGGAAGTAACTGTATCCCTCCGGTGAGATTTGGACTTAGGGTGTCATCTGCTGGGTATGATGAGCTTTAGGATTGTTTTTGTTTGACTTTTTCTTTTTGTTTTTTTTGTTTTTTTTTTTTTGGATAGTAGGTCTCTATGTAGTTTTGACTGTTTGACTGTCCTGAACTCTGTGATCTGCTTGTGTCTGCCTCCTGGGTATTGGTTGAGATGAAAGGTGTGCACCACCACATCCAGCATGGGGTTATGTCTTCTAGTAAACAGATTGGGATATTTGATGAACATTAAGCAGTGTACTGTTAGTAGCATGTTATGACAATACAGAGAATAAATTAGTTGCTACCAGTGTGTGGCTCACTTATGGTTCTTGTCCTGCCTTACAGGACACTGGAGATTGCAGCTGCTGAGCAGAGATTCTGGAAAGCACTCTGTCCCTGAGCCGTTAGCATGGCGGGTCTGAAGCGTCGGGCAAGCCAGGCGTGGCCGGAAGAGCAGTGTGAGCAGGAACATGGGCTCTACAGCCTCCACCGGATGTTTGACATCGTGGGCACCCACCTAACGCACAGAGATGTTCGTGTGCTTTCTTTCCTCTTTGTTGATGTTATTGATGAGCATGAGCGTGGACTCATCCGAAATGGACGTGACTTCTTACTGGCACTGGAGCGCCAGGGCCGCTGTGATGAGAGCAACTTTCGCCAGGTGCTGCAGCTGCTGCGCATCATCACTCGCCATGACCTGCTGCCCTACGTCACTCTCAAGAAGAGACGGGCTGGTGAGGGCTCGCGGGGTCTGGGAGGACAGGAGCCAGTAGCACAGGGGTCTAAAAGGGAGGTGGTCTTGACTAGGGAGGACCTAGAGAAGAAGCAGTGAGACCCTTTGGGAGAAGGCGGATGTGTATTTTTCTTGAGTGCCTCCTTCTCCTCCTGCAGTGTGCCCTGACCTTGTAGACAAGTATCTGGAGGAAACATCAATTCGCTATGTGACCCCCAGAGCCCTCAGTGATCCAGAACCGAGGCCTCCCCAGCCCTCTAAAACAGGTGAGATGGTATTACTTGTCATTTTCATAAGCAAGACAATATTGATCCCATCACATGCCTGGCTGGGCCAACATCAATGCAAGGATGCAGTCCCTCTTCATCTGTCCCATTAAAAAAATCAGGCTAGGCTGGGGAGACAGCTCAGTCTGTAACGTGCTTGTTGCTTCAACAATGAACACCTGAGTTCAGAGTCCCAGTATCTACATAGAAAAAGCTGGGCAATCAACAAAAAAAAAAAAAAAGGCAGATCTCTGGAGCTCACCAGCCAGCCAACTTTAGCACATAGGTGAACTCAAGGCCCTGTCTAAAAAGTAATGGGGAGAGAATTAAGGAAGATGGCCAGTGTTCACCTTTGGCCTCCGAATGCAGTGACACCCATGTGAACACATCCCATGAACAGGTACACAAATCAGATGAAGTATGCTTTGTCTAGGTCTAGTGTTTACTTTCACGTCAGATCCTCCTTTTAGGTCACTTTTTTTTTTTTAAGATTTTATTTATTTATTATGTATACAACATTCTGCTTCCACATATATCTCCACACCAGAAGAGGGCACCAGATCTCATAACGGATGGTTGTGAGCCACCATGTGGTTGCTGGGAATTGAACTCAGGACCTCTGGAAGAGCAGTCGGTGCTTTTAACCTCTGAGCCATCTCTCCAGCCCTTAGGTCACTTTTTAAAAAATCAATTTATTTTATATGTATGACTGTTTTGTCTGCATGCATGTTGAGCCATCTCTCCAGCTACTAGGTCAGTTTTTTCTTTTTATTTTACGTGTATGAGTGATTGCCTGCATATTCATATGTATACCATGTGTATGCCTGTTCCTGTAGAAGTCAAAAGAGGGTGTAAGATCCCTCAAACTGGAGTTACAGATGGTTGGTTATAAACCAGCATTTAGGTGCTGGAAACTGAACCTGGGTCCTCTCCAAGAATACAAGAGCTCTTAACCACTGAGCCATCTCTCCCAACCTTTTTTTCCCCCTGAGACAGAGTTTCTCTGTGTAACAGTCCTGACTGTCCTGGAACTCAGTTTGTAGACCAGGCTGGCCTCGAACCCAAGGCATATACCACCTTTTAGGTCACTTTTAATTACAATTAAAGGCATGTGCCACCACTGCCTGGATGTCTCCCAACAATTTTTTTTTTTGGGGGGGGTGTTTTTTGAGACAGGGTTTCTCTGTAGCTTTGGAGGCTGTCCTGGAAGTAGCTCTTGTAGACCAGGCTGGTCTCTGAACTCACAGAGTGAGTTCCACCTATCACTGCCTCCTGAGTGCTTGGATTAAAGGCATGTGCCACCACTGCCTGGCTAATTTTTTTTTTTTTTTTTTAAGCCCAGATGAATTCTAGAACTGTGTGTAGTCCCAAGCTGGTCTTGAACTTCATCTTCCTTCCTTTACTTTTTTGGTTTTTGAGACAGGGTTCTGGAACTCTGCACACCAGGCTGGCCTCAAACTCAGAGATCTGCCTGTCTGTGGCTCCTGAGTGCTGGGATCAAAGGTGTGCACCACCACTTGGGCAGCTTCCTTCTTCACTCTTACGTGCTGGGATGACAGATTCTGCCACCATACTTAGTACCCCTCCCCCATGTTAGGGCTGAGCCCAGGTCTTCATTAATGTTAGGCAGATGTTTGATCACTGAGCTATACCCCTCAGCCCTCGGATGACATCATCAATACTGCTTTTACCATTAAGTGTAATTGATTTGCTTGCATATTCCAAGGGAAGTATTTTAAGTTCTGCTTTTAAAACCTTGTTGTGTTTTCCATTTACTTTCTGGTCAGTGCCTCCCCACTATCCTGTGGTGTGCTGCCCCGCTTCAGGCTCTCAGATGTGTAGTAAGCGGCCAGCCCGAGGGAGAACCACACTTGGGAGCCAGCGAAAACGCCGGAAGTCAGTGACACCAGATCCCAAGGAAAAGCAGACATGTGGTAAGGAAATCCAAAGAATCTAGAGATGTAAACTTGAGGGAAAATGCAAAAAACTCCTGGGATAATGAACAATGTGTTGTTCAGTTCGAGGTACTCTTTGATTGCTGTTGTTGGGTTGGGTTTAGTTTTTATGAGAACTATTATCTTTTTGGCAATGGTATATAATAATTCTTTTTAGTTACTATTAAGTCAAAGGAATGCCGATATTAATGAACCAAGCCAGGCGTTGGTGGTGCTCGCCTTTAATCCAAGCACTCAGGAGGCAGAGGCAGGCGGATCTCTGTGAGTTCGAGGCCAGCCTGGTCTACAAGAGCTACTTCCAGGAAAGCCTCCAAACCTACAGAGAAACCCTGTCTTGAAACCCCCTCCCCCCAAAAAAACCCGAGGATGAACCAAGTCAAGACAGAATTAAAATAAACTTCTGCGCCTTTTTAATAAAATACTTGTTATAAGCAAGATGCTGTTTGTGAGTGACCTGAGCATATTCACTGTAGGGAAGCTCCAGCATTGAGACACGGGCGTTAGGGACACAGTGAAGAACTAGTTCTGGAGAGGGATGGAGAAGCTGTGAGAAGAGGGTTTCTACTCCGCTGGTCTTGCTTGCTTTTCTAGCTTTGGATGTAAACACAATCCTTACTGTAAGCCATTCTCCTTAAATCTCTCCCAGACATCAGGCTTCGAGTTCGGGCGGAATACTGCCAGCATGAGACTGCTCTGCAAGGCAATGTCTTCTCCAATAAGCAGGACCCACTTGAGCGCCAGTTTGAGCGCTTTAACCAGGCCAACACTATCCTCAAGTCCCGGGACCTGGGCTCAATCATCTGTGACATCAAGTTCTCTGAGCTCACCTACCTCGACGCATTCTGGCGCGACTACATCAATGGCTCATTATTAGAGGCATTGAAAGGTGTCTTCATCACAGACTCTCTCAAGCAAGCTGTGGGTCATGAAGCCATCAAGCTGCTGGTGAATGTGGATGAGGAGGACTATGAGCTGGGCCGACAGAAACTCCTGAGGAACTTGATGCTGCAAGCATTGCCCTGACCTTTCCCCCTTCTCACCTCTCTGGGGATTGTTTGCTCCATCACCTCTGGAGCTTACATACTGTTCTGGGGTTTGTTCTTTACCCTTCAACCAATCACACCGCCTTTTTTTTTTTTTTTTTTTTTTTTTTTAAAGGAAAAGACAAAGGAAAGTGGAAGTGGTGTTCCCTACCCCTCCCTGCACCCATGTGCCTGGGCTTCCCCTCTGTTTCCTGTTGCCACTTATCCCCTAAATGTGTGTCTCTACAGCCACCTTACCACTGAGCCGTAAGACAAGTGTATAGGGACGGAGTCTATGGAACATAGCCTTTGTAAGGGACTGAACATTGCTTTCAGGTGCATTGAGGGGTAATCAATACCTATGGCTTTATGAGGGCTCTTAAATTTTGTCTGAAAAACCAAAGGGCTGTGAGTAAAGGAGCGAGCTATGTGGAAGGTGGGACTCTGAAGTGTATTTTGGAAATTAATTACCACCTTCTTCCAAATTATAGAATTTTTTAAAAACAAAGAAGCTGTGGCCCTCTCCACTCTCTCCTGGCCTCTGGTGCTACTCCTCTCTGCCTTTCCTTCATTCCACAGCTTGAAACAGCTGCCTGGTGTGGCTCCCCCTGTCAGGTCCTCCCAACACAGACCATTGGGCCAGCCTCAGAACTCCTCCCAATTGTGGTGTATGTGTGGACACCAGTGCACAGGCTGGATGGAGGAGAAGCTGCTGGCTAAAGTACAATTTCCCTGAAAAGAGGAAGGAAGGGGGAGTGGGATGTGTCCCTTCTATTTCTAGTGAAAATAACAAAACTCCTAACCTACCCCAAGCCCCTTTGCCCTTGCTTCCTTCTGGTTTGAGAGAAAGTGAGGTATTCAGTATCAACTCTTCCTCTGGAGAATGGGGCTAGGACATGCACTGAGCGTTGTTGCACTTTCTTAGGCAGGGAGGTATGTTTGAGCCAGGAGGCCTATAAGTAGAGCCTATTTGAGCAGGTACCATACCACCTCCCCTTCCAGTTCCCCAAAGGAGATGCCCAGACAGACATTATGATTATTATATTTTTTTCAATGCCAGTGCTGCTCAGCCCTCAGCATAACTTCAGTTTTCATGAAATAAAAACACTGACTATATAAAATTTTACTTTTCTGAAACTGAAATCTGAGGTCAGGTCAAAGTTATTTCTTTCCCATGAACTTGAACCTGTGTTCCATTAAGAGAGTTTAAGGTTCTGCAAGTGGAGGGAACTGTGCTTGGGTCCTGCCTACAAGTCACAGTAGCATCACCTCACAGCTGTGCGTGTGTCTGTGTGTGTTTGTGTCTGTGTGTATGTCTCAACCCCCAGCATAAGTTAAAAGGCTTAAGACAGTGGTTGACCCAGATTGCCATACAGGTCAGGTCTGCGATGCTGGAACACAGGCAGGTGTTGTCGTATCTGTTGTAGAAAGTTGAGATCAATTCTGGCAAGGCAGAGGCCTGGTCCCTCAGAGCAGCTGGCCACCACTGTACCCCAGGGGTCCACCACCATGCTGTGCCCGTAACTTGTTCTTGTCTCGTGGTGGCGTCCACACTGTGCTGCTGCTATCACGTAGCACTGAGATTCAATGGCACGGGCCCGCAGCAACACCTGAGAATATGAAGTGTTCATTCAATTACATATAGCAATTAACACAAAAAAGCGGGCTGGCTCTACAGGCCAATCTGCCCCGACCATTCTGCTAGTCAACGTGACTCACACCTATCTGAGGATGGGAAGGAAAGAAAAAACCTTTCGAGTAGAAAGAACAGAGGAGGAGAGCAAGGCTTGGTTTTTTGGGTTTTGTTGTGTTTTTGAGGTAAGGTCTCACTGTGTAACCCTGGCTGGCCTGGAACCTAGAGATCTGCCTGCCTCTGCTACCAGGTGTGTGCCACCACTGCCTGGCTTCTATTTTTGTTTTGTTTTGTTTTGTTTTTGTTGTTTTGTTTTGAGTCAAGGTACCACTATGTAGAACATGATGGCCTTGAGCCTGTGGCAAACCTCTAGAGTACTTGGAGTTTAGCTTTGTGGCACCCACCACTCTACTAAGAGTAAGATTAAAAGGAGTCATTATGTTTTGAAGAAGCATTCTCTTACCTCCCAGTGGGCAGGACCTGTAACGGATCCAAAGGCTGAAGGATAAGTCAGTATTTCTGCCCCAGCTTGAGCCAATTTCAGAGAAAGTTCAGGGAACCGCATGTCATAACAGATTGCTAGACCAACCTGAAATGAAAAACAACCCACTCACCTTCCCTGCCCCATTCATCATAACATCAAGTACCTTCATCTTTCAACTCCCAAGGGGGATGGTACGTTTTCAATGTATTCCTATTTCCTTTTTAACTCCCACCTTCCCTGCTGGTGTGCTGATTGGTGGCTCAAGAATGGTTCCAGGCATGGTAGAGTTGCTTTCCCGCATAGGCCCCTGACCTGGGATCTCTACATCGCATAGATGTGTCTTCCTGTAAGTGGCCACTACTAGTCCTAGAGTAAGAGATACAGAGAAAATACTCAGAACAGACACTCTAGAAGCCCAGCTTAGTTCTCCCAAAGAGTTAATTTATACGCTAAGATCAGAAGTACAAAACCCACTAAAGCCAAATAGTTGAGAAAATAATGCTGAAGGATCTGAGTTGAAGGTAGAAAAGCCTGGAAAGAGACAAGCTAAAATGTTATTAAGTCTCACCCTTGTTGTTCAGAAGCACATGACAATTGTAGATTTTCTGAGTCTGCTCCCAGTCTTGGCCACGCTCATGGAAACCACCCAAGGACAGCCAGATTCCACATTCCCTGGGGGAGAAGGGACACTGACAACTCTACTCAAGGCGCTACCCCCTTTATGTGGCAATCCAGGAACAATACCCGGTAATGATTCTACTTCCCTCCCACCCTTGTACCTGGCAAGCTGGCTATATCGTCCCAGAAGGTCCCCATCCAGTGGTTCAGACAGCTGTAATGTCTCGGCAGGATTTCGTGCAATGAAGTCAAATGCCTCAGGCAGAAAAGCCAGGCAAGCACCCAGTCTGGCCGCCTCTAGAACCAGCTCAGCACATGTTTTAAAGTTCTCTTGCTTGTTTGGTGTTGATGTTACCTGGCACACAGCCACCAGGGGCAGCTCCCAGGAAGTTGAGGAGGACACCTCCATAGCTCTGGGCCTGTGAATAGCACGGGCAGTGTTCTCAGATTTGCTAGCACGGAGAAACCCAGAGGCTCAAGTGGGATGGGGCCACAGACCTAGATGTTTTTCTTTTTTGAGACAGGGTGTTTTGTAGCCCAGCCAGGTCTTGTTATGTAGCTGAGGATGACCTTAAACTGCTGCCTGCTTCCCAAGTGCTGAGATTACAGGTGTGTCCCACCATCCCTAGTGACTTCTTTCCATTCTTTCAGAGCATAATAACCCCAGAGCTACTGGTGTTCACTTATTAAATGTTTGGTGGGTGGCAGACAACTTTGTCTCCCCACACTGCAGTTATAAACACGGATTGAGCGGCAATGTGCCAGGCAGAGAACAAGAAAATATGTTACCTGGGCTGAGTACAAAGTACCGAGATTCGAGGCAATCTGTTTCCGGTACACAAAAGGGACAGGAGTTGGCGAGGAGGCCTGGTGATGAAGCCCAGCCTGAAGAGGGTGAAAAATCAGGACACCTAACCTTCCTTCAAGTAGTATGTTTCTAGAATTCTCTGTCATTTCCAGGCCTGGCCAGTAATCCCCTCCCCCAAGGCTTCAAAAACATCCCCCCACACGATTAGCTGTGGAAAGAGGTCGTAAAAGGGAAACATGGGAGAGGAGACTGATCCGAGCCTCAATACCTCAACTTCCAGTGATCTCACATTAAAACTGAAGCCCCTTTCCTCTGCCAAACGTTTCCGCGGTTCAAGTCATCTCATGGAACCTTCCTCGCTTCCCCAATTCTCTCTTCTCGGCTGTGCCACCTGCACAGCTTTATAGGCTCAACGCGTATCTCTCCCCTTACAGCAGTATCTCGAAAGGCAAGTTCACTCTCCCTAGATCGCCACCATCTCGAGGTGGGCAGGGGGCTCCGGACCAGATCCCAACCCTGGACCCCGCCCTCTGATTAGCGCGCCCTTCCCCGCCTCTCCCTGGGGCAAGAATCTCTGTTGCACAAGTTAAAGCACCGTAGGTGGAATTCACCGCAGCGGGCAGGGTTGGGGAGTAGGTCCTACATGAAGCCACCGCCAAAACCATTCGCAGGGTCGACCAGAGGAGCTTCCTGGAGCCAGAAGCGCAGGGGCAAGTGGGTGGTAACTACCAGACCGGATGTGACGCAGTGGGAGTGCGCAGGCCGGAAAGCTCGCAGGTGGCGAAGATGGCGGACAGCAGCGGTCGTGTGAGCAAGAGCAGCGGGAGCAGCACCGGGAAGGGGGCGGTGTCGGCCGAACAGGTGAGCATCCGCGAGCGCCGAGGGCAGCTCGGCCGGTGTCGAGTTCGTGCAGGAAACGGGGTCTGTGGCTTGTACCGGCCCTCAGCCCTTTCCACGTTCTCCGTGTCGCACTCGCGGAGGGAGGCGATCACGACCCCTGCTAGGGCATGCGGAGGTGGGTGTGCAGAGGAGAGCCACGTCCGCAGGCTGCAGCGGGAGCCCAGTGGGAAAGCCCTGAGCTGCGGGAGCTGGGAGGGTGTCCAGGGCCCCAAGGTGATGGGGTCGTCGTTTCCCCCGTCTCCGAGCTACTGGGAGGCGGGCCTGCTTCGGCGTTGCATCTAGTAACGAACCCCAGAGGTTATTAGTCGGGGAATTGTTTAGTCTGTGACTCTAAAACCGCGCTCACCATCGCCCACGCGCTGCAAAACCACGTGACTCAGACTCGACCGCTTCAGTCTTCTGTAACTATTTTTTTTCTGGTTTTTCGGGACAGGGTTTCTCTGTAGCTTTGGAGCCTATCCTGGCACTCGCTCTGGAGACCAGTCTGGCCTCGAACTCACAGAGATCCGCCTGCCTCTGCCTCCCGAGTGCTGGGATTAAAGGTGTGAGCCACCAACGCCCGGCCTTCTGTAACTATTTTAACTAAGGAGTCTTTAGTAGATTGGCTTTGTGGTTTAGTTTGGTTTGTTTGATGGTTGGTTGGCCTTGGGGTCGGGGGTGGAAGTTGCGACGGGGTCGCTCTATGCAGTCTTGACTTTTCTGAAATACACAGTGTAGACCAGGCTGGCCTGGAACTCAAGAGATCCGCTTGTCCCTGCTCCTGCCTCTCGAATTCTGAGATTAATAGCCTGTGTCACTAAGCCGGGCCAGGATTGTTTGGTCTTTTGAGACATGATCTCACTAAGTAGCCCAGGTTGGCCTCGAACTCGCTCACTGTGTTCTCGGAGTGGAGATTGACTTTTTAGAAGAGACCGGAAACCCTTTTCTAATCTAAGTTTGCCCCCACCCCAATACATCGGGATATGTCTGACTAATCAGAAAGCCCTTTGTGGTATGAGAACCGTGCCTTGTTAATCGTGGGACTAGTATTTAATCGATAGTAGAAGGAAAAAAAAACCACACAATTGAAATGAAAAGAATTGAGGCTAGGGATATAGCTTAGTGGGCCAAATGGGAGAGCCCTGAAGTGTAGGACATGGGAGGGTGTTAATTAATTGTTGAACACTCAGTACAGTCAGGTAAAGGTAGCCGAATAAAGAGTTTAAAACCTGCCCTATCAAAGAGCATATCTATTGGGACAAAAGGGGGATTTTCATAATTCTACTTCGAGGCAGAAAATAAGTGTTCTAAGAGAAGTAAAATGCATTGAAATTTGGAGGTAGCCTCCAATATAGTGGCTAATACTTTTATTGAGGGTCTGTCTTGTGTTAGGCTCTGCTGAACACAGAGAAACTGGTAAATGAAACAGACCTTATCTTCAACTTGGTCAAAGATCCCTAGAAATACAAGACAGCCGAGTGTGATGGCTCATACCTGTAATCCGGCTGGATTACCATGTCCATTCCAGGCTAAGCCTGGGCTACAGAGTGAAACAGTTGTAAAAACAAACATGACAGAAAGACAAATAAAACAATGAGAGTTTTAAAAAAAATTATTTTATGGGCTTGGTGATGGTGGTGCACCATTTTGTCTTAGCACTTGGGAGGCAGAGGCAGGAGGATCTCTTGAGTTCAAGGCCAGCTTGGTCTGCAGAGCTAGTTTAGTTTCAGGACAGCCAAGACTATACAGAGAAATCCTGTTTTGAAGAAAACAAACAAACAAACAAATAAATGCTGGTAAAGGCCCCTTGAGATGGCTTTTGCAGAGGCCCAAGTTTGATTCCCAGCACCCATCCATGTTGCTTGTCTCACAATTCCCCATCACCTTGGCTCAAGGGAATCCAACGCCCTGTTCTGGCCTCCAAGGCAACTCCACTTGAGTGCACATGCTATCACACAGACACACAAACATGCACATAATCTAAACAGTTTTTTTGTTTGTTTTTGTTATTTTGTTTCAGGACATAGTTTCTTTGTGTAGCCCTGGCTGTCCTGGAACTAGCTCTGTAGACCAGTCCCTGTATTTGAGAGAGATGTAGAGGCAAGAGAATTAGGAGTTCAAGTTCATCTACTCAAAGTAAATTTGAGTGTGGGTTACATGAGATTCTGTCTCAAAAAGATAAGAAAAATCCCTGTCACTTGACAGTCAAAGTTCAATGTGTGTTTTGGAGAGGACAAACCCTACTAAAACATAGCTTTATACCCCTTAGTCCCAAAACTTGTGCCCTTACAATGCAAAATACGATTATTCTGCCCCAATAGTCCCCAGAGTCTTAATTTGTTCCAGTACTAACTCAAGATTCCAGGGTCGTTTGTGCAGGGAAAAGTAGCTCGGGTGGGTGGGTGTGTGTGTGTGTGTGTGTGTGTAAAACAAGCCTTAAGTCTGATTCCAAGAGAGCAGGCATTGTCTTACAATTCTATAACAATTTTTCTCCATGTGCCATTTGGAAACCCTGGGGCAGGGATTGGGCCTCTAAAATGCTGGGCAGCTCCACATCTATGGGTTTGTTGGGCTCAGACCATGCTTCATGCTCTTTCCCAGGCAGACAGTGTACATTGACGATTGCTGTACTATTAGGGAGCTGGTAGCTGCCTGACATTCTGAGTGCTGGGACTGAAGGCAGATTGAGCCTTGACAAAAGACAGTTGGATTATGCAGTTACAGAGAAGGCTATTCAAGATCTTGGGGAGAATAGTTTGGTAAACAATAGTACCACACAAAAGACAGAAGGTAATTGAAATTAAATTGGATACAATAAGTATGGAGTGGTCCTCAAAGTTAGAAGAGAAGGGATAGAGTGGTAAGATCAAGAAGGTTTTCTGTGAGAGTTAAGCTACCTTTATTATAAGGAGGGCACTAAAACTAGTAATCCCAGCACCCAGGAGGAGGTGGGAGGCTCAGGAGTTCAAGGTCACCTTTGATTATGGAGCACAGTAGGACAGCCTGGCCACTAGAGACTTTGTCTCAGAACCCATAAAAACTAAGGGAGGTTGGAAAGGAGGCAGGCAGGGGAGCAGTCTCTGGGGAAGTATGTTTCAGGTGGATTCAGTCAGAATTCTCTCCCTATTCGATTTTTCCAGTATCCAATCAAGAAGAAATGACATGTAACATAGCCAGAAACAACATAGTAATAGAAAAAGGTTCTTTGTTTTAGGGAAGCCTGTATTTAAGTGCCAGCTCTGCAGATCACTCTGAAAACCAACTCCTTGTACCCGGGGCATTGGGCTCTTAATTTATAAATTAAGGTACATGTTTTATAGTTGTGTCCCCCGAACGAGGCTGTAAATTGAACCCTGGCACATAAAGGGCAAGTGCTCTACCACTGAGCTGTACCATAATCTGTTTGCATTTTTTAGAGATAAATGAGACTACCATACACAGTAGGTGCTCTTAACTTTCCACACTGTGGAAAGCAGTTGTAGGTCATGAAGGGGTTACATGTCTACAGATAGGTTATATTTGCATATTTAAATTTTTCTGAGTGGTAACATAAAAGAAGAAGGCAGGTTATATAGTGACAAATAACACCAATATAAATAGAGAAGACTTGGGGTTGGATGTGTAGCTCAGTTGGTAGAGCGCTTGCCTTCTATGCACGAGGCCTTGGGTTGAATAGGTGGCATTGAATCTCATACTGAATATAATGGGTACTCTGTATTCCTAGCAGGACTTGAGAGGTGGAGGCAAGAGGATCACATAGCAAATTTGAGGTCATCTTGGGCTATATGGGACAAAAAAAGTAAAAAAAAAATAGAAAAGATTTTGTGTTGGGGGGGCTGTGTTGATGATCCTGGGTGGTTGTGGTGCATGCATTTGTCCCAGCACTAGGAGGCTGGGATCCCTGAGTTCAAGGTCAGCCTGGTCTGCACAGCAAGTTCCAGGACAGCCAAGGCTACACCAAGAAACGCTGTCTTGAACACTGCCTCCCCCCCAAAAAAAAACCCAACCCAACAACAAAAACTACATAAAGCCAATCTAAAAAGAAATTTTTAAATATTTTATGGGAGCTGAAGAGATGGCTCAGTGGTTGAGAACGCTGGCCGCTCTTCAGAGGTCTTAGGTTCAATTCCTGGCAACCACATGGCTCACAACTGTCTATAGTGAGATCTGATGCCCTCTTCTGGCTTAAACTTGCACATGCAGCTAGAGCACTTACACATGGAAATAAATATTTAAAAACCAACAGGGAATAAGGAAGAGAAGAATTAGATGTAGGCATGGGGCAGAAGACCACTAGAAAATTTGTGTTTTAGAAGGAACAATGGGGATTCTGAGGCATGGGAATGGAGCTAGACTGTTCTCATTCCCTGGGGACCCCAGAGATGGCAGCTTCAAATTGGCAGATTGTGCATCCCTCTTCGAGTTATGTCCAAGTTAGCTGCTGACAATGCATTTACTTTACTGTAGTTACAGCTGAATTTTTCCACAACTGGGGATAATTCACACATTTCAGTAGATTTATTTTAGTTCATATCCTGAAAGACAACAACAGAAAGTGGTTCATATTATACTGGAATAAAGAAATAGGGTAGGGGCTGGGATAGCTTACTGGTAGATGCCTTCTTAGCATGCTCCAAGCCCTGGGCCTGATCTCCGGTGCTACAGTGAAAGGGTGGAGATAGGTGTGTGAAGGAAACAGGTGGCTATTAGTAAGAATGTTGGCTACGAGTGTGGCACCACATATATCCACAAGAGGGCGCCATTTGGTGCTGGGAGAACATTTAGAATCTGGTTTAGTCCCCGG